AAACCCTTACAAAGGAACCAAAAGAGCTGCTTGATGTTGAGATTGCTGATCCATTCAAGGCCTTGTTTGTATCTCAGCCTACCCAGACTCACAGATAGAGTTTGTCAAATCACTGGGCTAACACCAATAAGCTTTTTCAGAAGGCAGGTTCAGGGTAGGACCTAAAACCTAGCCTGCTGAATTAAAAAGGAGCACATACTCTCCCAGAAAGTGTTGGAAAAGACCGCAGCCCTTCCTCGTTTCTGGAAAATAGGATTGTAATTCCAAGGTTCCTACTCAAAGCTGTGAGTTTCAAATGGTAACTACTAAAGTCAAGGTCTGGGAAGATATCTTTCTAAATTGCAAAGAGGAAAGGGAAGTCAGAAGACAGCCTCCTCTGAACTCCTTGCTGGCACGCTCAGTTTGCTCCCTGCTCAGGGTGCTGGTTTTAAGCACCCATTTTTTTTGTTGCCTTACTCTCTCCACACACCATGAGCAGACATTATAACAAATAATACAAGATTCCTGCAAGGTTAGATTTGTCCTGCTGTGTGCTCATGTTCCCTTCCAGGATAAGCAGAGCGAGCTTCACTCCTTTCAGTTGTGATTTTTTTTATTTACCGCAACATCACTAATACAGTAGAAATCAGGTGACCTGGTTATAAATAAGGACAGAATTGCTGCGTGTGTACACATGGTTTCTACCATCAGATAAATACACAGATAAACATGTGGTAGCTATTTTAATTAATCATATCCCGGGAGCTTTGCCCATTGTATTCCTAAGAGCATGTGCATGATGCAGCACTCTAAAGAAATTCCACACACTGCATTAAGTGACCCCTTACCAAAAGCATAGCTCAGAAAAACTGCCATTTTCTTATTAGAATCACATGTCAGCACCTTGCCAGCTACATTCTTGAATGCTCTTCAGCTCTTTTCTGCACTTGTTGCCCGCAAACACTGCACATAATCCCATCTACAGGGTGACTCAGAGCATTATTCCATGTCAAACCTCTTTCTCTGAAAAGGCTGTTCTGGAATCATTTGGTGCTAGTGCCCTGGAGGCCTCCAGGCAATCCTCAAGTCAGCTGAGTTCATGTTACCAGGGATAAGTGAGCCTGCACTTGGACTGCATGCCTGCATAACTGTGACTTCAGTTATAAAGTCACTTCCCAGTTTATGTGGAAATTATACGTAGTTCACCAAATATAGGAAATGGGTCACATTGCAGGCAATATTTTACAAGTGCTCTATAGCCAATTCTGGTTGTGACTCATGCAGAAGTTCCCTTTGGTTTTGGTTCTTCCTATCTGCACTATTCACAGAAGCAGTGATTTTATTTGGCAGATAACCTTGTTATAGATGGCAGTTAACCCTAGTTATTTACAGCATAGATAATTGCCCAGGGGAGCAATGCTCACATGCTTTTCTCTTTTCCTATTTTCTCTCTCTATCCCCTCAAAGTCTGGATTTCTGCCTTGAGCAAGAAAGTTTCTCAAAGAGTCAAGGAAGTGAAAATACTGAGAGGCTCAGAGAAGGAACAGTTTCTGGACGACACTGCCAGGGGTGCTGGTTTTCAACACCTTGAGGACTATATTAAAGCCAGAACTTTGCACAGTGAGTTTTTTCCCTTTTTCCCGTGGACCAAAACTTACACAGATCCCTTCATGTTCTGGGGAAACATTGCTTCAAAGAAGCTCTAAGCTGGAGAATGGTACTTTTAGATGAGGGATTGGGGTTCTCCAAAGTGTAGCTTTCCAGCAAGACTGATGAAAAGTGGTAGTGAACTATCTGAATAACAAGCCTGTCTACTTATGCAGGTCTTTTTAATCTGAGCTCACTCTCAAATGATTAGCAGGGTGTCTGTTGTCCCAGGAAGCTGTAGGGCTCTATATGCAGTTGGTCTTGCCTGCACTTTCAAGGCATGATGAGCCAGGTTTTCCCCTGGAGACCAAAGGACTGTGTGATAGGTCTCAGTGTGAGGAAGCAGAACTAGATTCTCCAAGGAAGTGTACTTGTTAGTTCTCACCATGATGAGAGATGAAATTATGTTATACAGATGAAACCCCGCCACTGAAAGCTCAGCATTTCCTGATAATTTAATGAAACTGAATCTGAAAACTTACTGCTTACATTCATTCTAAAAGATGTGTTTAAGTTATCAGTCCTTATCTCTGAATTTTCACTGATAACATGAGAAGCTTTATAATCTTAGAATTTGTATTTTTGTGCAGAGAGAGCTTGAAATTTCACTGGGGGTTAGAATAGTCATGTCAGCAACACTTTTTAGGAGCATATCTGAAGACATAAGGTGGGACTTGGAAGACGAAAGAGCACTTTTAGACCCATAAATTAGAGCCTAGTATGCGAGAAGCTATAATTCCAGAAAGATAAAGTCTTTGTTACAAAGAAGAAAATATATAACCTTTTCCAGTTTCTGTTTGGATTTGAAGGAAAATATGGACTGATTACTAGAATCTAGTTATAGCTATTCAGCACTGGTTATATCAAGTTACAGAACTGGTCTCTGTTGTCTGAATGGTGGCCCAGCACACACAGGGGTCACCAGCACATGTGTTTTTATACCTTTTCATTTGTGCACTCCAGTCATGTTGTATGGACATTAGGCTGTAATGTCAATTCTTTAGACCTTTCAAGAAAAAAAAAGCAATGTCATACGGATGGAATAGGAGCTCTCAGCAAGAGCTCACCTTCAGGCTGGGAATACACTCAGCACTGGAGCAGTTCAGGACATGGGAACACTGGAAAAGGGTAATATTCATATAAACAGATTGCTCAACTGAAATAGCTACTCCCTTCTGAAAAGCTCAGTCATTCTTTTGGTGTTACTTTAGATCACTGCCTGAAATGTCAGTAAAGGCAGCCCCAAGAGTCTATAAAATCCTCCATCAGATTAAGTCTCTCTATGTTTTCCTTGATGACATCAAGAGAAAATTTGAAGAGATAGCTGACAGAACTATTATTATACTGGCACAAGACATGGCTGTGATCTTTCCAGTATTCCCAAAATAAGCCTCATCTTTGAAAATGAGTTACTGTGTATGCCCATGGCTCAAGGGCAGCCTGAGAGCAGCCTCAGTCCTGCACAAGATCCACAGCCAGAATCCTACAGCCTGAGTAGGAGCAGAAGTCCAAATTACTGAAGTTGTTTTCCTAATGGTATTATGTGTAGGGCAGGCTTTGAGAATGCCCATGTCAGGTACATTATGTCTCTGGGGGACTTTTAGATCTCATACTTTATGAGAAATCTCTAAAGTCTTCAGTCAGTTTTTCTTGTGCTTCATAAAATGAGGTAACCACAATAGGAAAGCAGTATTTCTGAATAGCAAAACTATAAGCGTAAACAGGATTTCTCTGCGTTCGTGTCCTTCTGTAGATAAACAACCACAGTTTGCATCCTGCATTTTCCTGTTTAAAAAAAAACAAACAACAAAACAAACACAAAAAAAACCCTAGAAAATGAAGCCACAAACTATCAATGGAGCGCAAAGAAGTTCTGCTTTGCCAGCTAATCAGCTAGCTTGGTATAGCATAAGGTGCAGGAAAGTAATGAATGTGGCTTGTTGTGGCTGATTAAAAGGGGCAAGGAAGGAGCATGGGGAACAATGAGTGCATGCTGTGTGGAGTGTGCATAGTCCCAGAAAGTAAGAGAGTGTAATGCTGCTGAAATATTGATAGGGTGGATAGAATCTGGAATGATTGACAGCATGTGTATGTGTCTTGGCAAGTTTAATTGGATTTGTTGGGGTAGAAGGTGGAAAAATGTGGTGCATTTCCTTTTATGGTTTCTTTATTTCAGTCTCTTCTGTCCTATCAAATTGACATTCAAAGCAATACTTTTCACTGTCAGCATAGAAAACCTGGTCTTTACTCCCCAAAACTTAAAGGTTGTGGGAACTGTGTAGAGAGGATGGAAAAGAAATGTAAACCAACTTTCATTGCATTTTACTTACTGCTTGTCTTCACTCTTCAATGAGTTCTTATGCCTAGTGAGAGTGGTAACTTGGAGGGGAAAACAAGGAAAAAAAATATATATAATTGAATAGTGGCTAAATGAATTTTAGTCATGATAGCAGTCATAACAGGGATTCTGTCTTGAGGACTTGTGCATATGCTCTGAGTATTACTGTGCTTTTCTTTTTGGCTGTCATCAGTAACCAGATTTCTCTTGCCATAAGATTTGAAAGTGTGACTTCAGGCACAAAGGTTTAAGGTTATGCAAAAGTGATAAAGCCCAGATCATCTAAAGTGCTGATTTGCCCAATGCCTGTTTAGCCTCCTAACTTCAATTGAAAGAAGTAAATATCTGCGCAGATCCTGTCAGTTGCTTTGATGGTTGAAGCCTGGATTCCCAACAAGCTGCCAGCCACGGTGTATGTGTGCTTTCTTCTGCAAGGCTGCCTTCCTCTCTCCCTTCTCCTTTCCTTAGTGCAAGAATCCTGTGCTTTTAAGCAGAACTGTTGAACCATCTGCTCTCTCCCTGGGTCTAATTTCTACTCACTCTGGTGCAAATTGGGAGTTCCTCTGATGTCAAGGCTAGCAAGCAAAAAAAGACTGAATTTCTCATTCCTCTAAAGTTTGAGGGGGTGGGGGTGGTATTTGATTTTATTTAATAAATTACTGTTATCAGCTGTTTGTTTGATATTTCCATTAAATGTACTGCTGGTGAGAAGTCCCAGTATGAGCCCTGCATGGACGGCCGCTGTAAAAAGTTTTACTTGCACTGCTGGGCCTGTTTTGTGGGGTCCTGACCTGGAGACACACATCCACAGCAAATGAGGAGAAGGTATTTTGGCCTCCTAGTTCTTAGTCTTTCATTGTTCTAGGTTAGCAAGTTATCTAGTTATTTCATACAGGAATGTGGATCTGGAATGAACATCATGTCTGCTGTTACAGATGAACTTCTCCAGCTCCATCTTAAAATTAGTCAAAATCATCACTGTGGCTCCAGTTACCAAGTTACTCCCTCCTCTGACCCTTGCCCTATTTCTGTTCAGGTTTGTCGGTCAGAGAGCTGATGCTGAGGATGACAGTTTCCAAGGTGTTTCTAAGAGAGCAGTCTAATTGCTGCTCCTGGGCTCAACAGGAGAGAAGCCTTCTGCAGAGGTGCGAGCAGAGAATCAAAGAGGGATAGCTTTGTGCGGAGAAGATTGAAAACTACTGAGAGAGGACACTGCATTTCATCAAAAGGTAAAACTTTTTGCTTGCTCCTCCTCTGAGTTCAGCTTGACTCACCAGTCAAAGCCTTGGTAATCCTTTTTCAAACTTGTGAGCTTTCCAGGCCCTCGGGCACATACTTGAGAGCTGTTGCCTTTTCCCTTCTTTTTGCTTCACCCTGCCCCACAAGCAAACTTAACAGTCTGTGAAAAGCAGGGGGTAGGCAGGTATAGGGAGGGGGACTTAATGACATATGCAGTGGTTTTTGAAGAGATGAAGCCAGACGTGTCTGGTAGAATAATTCTGAGGCAGTTTGTCTGTTTTCAAATAACAAGCTTAATGTAATAATGTCATTACACAGCTCTAAATTCAAGGATGTGTTTTCACTGAAACACAATAGAAGCTAAGCTATCAGTCAGATACCTCATTTTCATTGAAGTTACAGCCAGTTTCACTGGCAGAAGTATTTCTGAATTTTCCACTCTTACTTACTTAAGGTTGCTTTTGGCATGAGATAAATGTATGTTCTTGAGACTGATTAAAAGACTTCTGGAGGGAAAAAGAGAGTATGGGAGAACATTCACTGTCTGCTTGTTTGTTTGATCTGATTTGTTTTAATTAGTATGTGTATTAAATTCAATTTCTGAGAAAAATTACTGATGCAAGAAACCATGCATCATATTTCTGCTCTGGATGTTGGACCTCCTCATGAAAAGCCTGAATTTCATAAAAGAACAACAGAGGTAACATTCATGAAGAGTCAACCAATGTCTTTATTACTCCACTTATCAATAAACATCCATCTCCTGGTTGCTGTAAATCTGCTCCCCTTACCCCAGATCACAGTATCACAGTATGCTGGAGATTGGAAGGGACCTCAAAAGATCATCTAGTCCAATCCCCCTGCCGGAGCAGGAACACCTAGATAACGTTACACAGGAATGTGTCCAGGCGGGCTTTGAATGTCTCCAGGGAAGGAGACTCCACAACCTCCCTGGGCAGCCTGTTCCAGTGTTCCGTTACCCTCACTGAGAAGAAGTTTCTTCTCAAGTTTAAGTGGAACCTCGATGGTCAGTTCTCTTTAATCTTAGCACCCTCTGCTGTGGACAGCTAAAATAACATAGTAATTAATTATTTGTGGTTTAAAAATTAAATATCTCTTTTTGTACCAAAGGATCTACAAATGCAACACCACTTTTGTTAATGGAACTGCATGTATCTTGTATGAAAAATATATTGTCTTTCTTGTGTTAATCTGGAAGGTATCTTTTTCAGAACACTTACTGAAGAGATGATGTGTAGAATACAGACAAAAAGAGAGGATCCCGAACCAATAACTTTATCTTTGCAGAAGAAAGGTGTAGTCATGCAGTCATGCTTGAGTCTGGAGATCACCTCCAGGCTGCATAGGCTATAAGAAATAGTTTATATTTGCCATGTTTTATACCTGTGGAACACACAGTGATCATATCACCTCTACCTCCGGTGTCAGATATTCTACATAAGCAGGAGCACAGGGGTTAAAACTGGCTTTCTTCACTCTGCCTTACCATGATGTTGTCACTTGCCAGCACAGTTCCTAGCCAGCTCTTCAGGTCAAGGAATCACTTGTGCCAGCAGGACTGGACTAGGATGTAGCCCATTGTTTCTTCTTATTTTTTTTAAAAAGCTACCACATTGGAAGTGTCAAAAAAGACAAGAAGTGAAGAGCAAGTATACTTAATTGCCTAATTTATAAAGAGAATTTTGCAGGGTTTACACTTTAAAAGTAAAAGTTTGTATCTTTCCAGTAACCAGTTCCATTTTTAATCTCTCAGTGACAGGAAAGGAATAGATTTGATTTCAGCAAAGATACAGCCTGAAAACTGAAGGAAGAAACTATTCTTACTAGTTAAGCTATGGTCAATTTTTCCACATTTGTTTACAGACAGCAAATCTTCCTTAATGAAGCTTATTGCTATAGATCCTCAGATGGGAACACCATTTCCAGTGACCCTTTCTTCTCACTCATTTCACATTTAGAAGCTTTCTCCAGCTCTTGTCAAGCTTGAAGACTAATTAGTTGGCTATACAAGAAGGATGCTTTTGAAAAATGCAGTAATTTCAGATAGCATATAAGCAGTTCTCTGCACTTTCAGTGTCTTCCTTTAAATGTTTAAGTATTTTTTATCAACTCTCCTTTCGTATTTTCTATTTTGTCTTCTAGAAAGCACTATGTGTAACAGCAATAATGGTACAAATCAGTCATTTCCCTTCTCACTCCTCCAACTCCATCTGCTGATCACTCATGAGAGCTCTAACAGCAGAACTGCTTCCAAGGGTTGTTGAAGATGTGGAACAGTGAAGGCTGCCTTGTCAAGCCTCCAAGAGAAAATAGCAGCAGAGATGAGTTTTTGAGTACATTAGTAATAATACTGTATTGATCTCAAAACACTTTACAAACATTCACTAATTAAGCTTCAAAACAGTGAAGTCAGGTTGCATTAATAAAGCCCATTTAGCAGATGAAGAAGTGGAGGTAAACAAAAAGTAAGTGAAGTGACCAGAGTAAAGCAGTGAGTAAAGGTCGGAGAAAGATATACTGGTTTGCAGTTGTTCTGCCTTTCATGTGATCTCACTGAGAAAAATTATTCAGTGAAGCTTGCAGCCATTTCAAATTGAATTGTTCGGGTCATTTTATCGCCAAGTCTGAACAATTGTTACAAGAATCAAGATGATATAAAGGCTCGCAAAAGTAATAAACTTATCAGGTTTGGCTTTGACTGACAAGGGGCCGTTTCTGAAAGCAGAGTAGGGGCAGCAGCAGCCATGGGATTTTCTGTGCCGTGATCCTTTTTTTTTCTCATTTATGTTGCTCTAGTGGTGCTAGCTGGATAGAAAACTGCATTAGCCTGCAAAATGGGAATTCATGTGGACTTGAGACTGATGTCATGCATCTATCCCACCCTTCCTATGGGAGAGGTAAAGCCTTCTCAAGGGATTGCTCTGCTCTGGTGATCCCAGCCTTGGGGCTATTATAGGGTGGAATGGCTTAGAGTAAGTGGAGCAACCCTGGCTTAAACCAATGTAACAAAGTGAAGGATCACACAGTAAGTGAATCACATATAGCAGTGCTGACCCAAACAGAGGATGATGGCTTAGAGCACGTTCCTCAGAGACATTAAGTTATACTTGCAAAGGCAGGCCTCAAAGCCAAGGCTTATACTTTCTTAATGGGCTTCATTAGGAAGAAAGGAACTGGAAAAAAGACGTGTAGTTTAAAAGGGAACAGCTTCAGCAGAGTCTAAAATTTGTTCCATTTTTCTATAAAAGAAGCCAATCCTGCCTTAAAATTCATGTCCCTTCAAAGTTCAAGGAGGCCTGTACTTTTGGCCTGCTCACTCAGAGCACTCCAGCCACTTATTGTATGTGGAACGCACTCCAGGGACTGGCTGAAAAAATATGATTTAGTGAAAGCTTGTACCCAAAACACATCATTGGCCTCTGATCTCTGAACATTTAAATATTTCAAGCTTACAAGCGGACGCTGTCATGAGGACAGACCCTGATCCCTAGCTGATTCTAGAACATCTGTTGAGGCATTTACCAAGTTAATAGATTAGCTATGAGAATCAGGCAGGTGTTTTTCACCAAAGCCAGAAAACATCAAAATCAGATTGCCCTCCAAGTCTTTCAGCACAGGCAATCGAGTTAGAATGACTCATAGAGTCTAACAGATAATAAAACACACATAACATTTGCTTTAAGGTACAGGTGGGGATATTTTGTACTGCGCTTAGGAGAAAGAAAAACTAACTCTATTTGGGAATAGAGTAATTGAATACAGATGGGAGGAGGCAAATGAAAGAATTTAGTAAATATCTCAGTGGAATAGCTAATGGGAACGAGACAGAATAGGAAATTAAAAATTATTCGAAGCAGATGGACCATTCTTTGAGTTTTTTAAAATTTATTAGGGCTGCGAAAAAAATGTGTCTGTTTATTTTCCACGGCCGTGAAATTAATGACTTGGTGAGTTGTGCTTGTGCAATTTTATGACTGCCATGTCATTTGTCATAATTTGGGTGCTGTTTGATATGGATTTATGAATATTTCCTCCCCCCAGCATGATTTATGGGTGTTGGTCATATGTGAATTAGACTGTCACCTTTAGTATGAAAAAGTACAAATGACAGATTATGAAAAAAAAAAAAGAAGTGCTCAAGTCCTTAGTGCTTGCTGGAAAGCAGAGTTCACAATCCCCTCCTCTGCTGCTTCATTGGAAGTTTTGGTTTGGAGCTGACAATTAAATGTTTGGACTCGAGTCAAGCATATGGGAACACTGAGAATGGATCTGAACTCATCTGAACTTCACCTGTGAAACTCAGCTTGAGTCATCCTTTCCTAGTACTTTTCATTGAAAAAAAACAAAAAGGACTACTTGCCATAGGAATGACTGATGGACCGTGCCAGAGCAGCAAGTTGGCCTGGCAAATTGCTGTCTTGCTTCCAGTAGTGGTTACCTCTGGGTGAAGCTTCCATCAAAAGTGAAAATAATCTGACACAACAAGTCTAGTTCTGCAGCACTGCATAGTTGAAGGTATGAAGTCAAAGGGCATAGAAACCAGTTTGAACTTCTGCAATAATCATAGAATCACAGAATGGTTTGGGCTGAAAGGGACCTTAAAGATCATCTGGATCACCTTCCACTAGAATAATAGTATCCTAGGTTTAGTTCCAAAGCGCTAAATTTCATGCTATTATCACTTCTACCAAAACTATTAGTATTTGCCATTTGTTTTGCAACATGTAGCAGCAGCATATACCAGCTTAGGACAGAAGCACAGCTGCTCCTGGATTTGAGCTACCTGACTTCAAGCACATAACCCAGGCACCTAAACTAGAACCTAATCTTCTGAAGTTGCCCCGTTGGTGCTGGAAGGAGATAAGCACGTCCAGAGAGCAATTCAGCCAAAGTGTCTCTGTCCATTGACTATGCAGGCAGGCTAAAACAGTAAGCCTTCCTAATTTAGCTCCCCAGTTTGGTGTAGAAAGTTATGTAGGAGGAATTAGAGCCCAGCACGGGATTCAGTTTTAAAAAGAAGAAACAATACACCTTGCATGACAACAAAATATTGCTGATCATCTTTCATGCTGAGCTAGCAAATGTTGCCTTTATGGGGGATATAACTGGTACATTCTGTAATTCTTAGACAACCATACGCTGAAGCCCATTTACTTAGGCCCAGACAACATTGCTTCTCCAGTGGGAGGCTGATAATTCTTAGTGCTAAGTATCTCTGCAGTTATGACGAAAGGATGGATTATTTTGCAGGGAGCCACAAGGGCAGTCTGACTGTTTGGATAGCACTTATTATCTCTAAGGGTAATTGGTGGCTTATTTTTGTTCATAGTCAAGCAACAACCTGTGTTAGCAAACCAGTGGCACGTCTGCTGTTGTAATGGTACCTGAGATGCTTTGTAGTGGTGTTATGCAGCTTCACAGAACCGGAGTTTCTTGCAAAAATAAATCAGGATCACCTATACTGAATTCAAGAGTGAGGTCCAGTGATCTTAGCTGACTCATCAGGAAGCCTTCACATCTATTGGAGAAAGCTCTGCTCATCAATTAAGGTATGTTGCTATATATCAGAAATACCTCATTGCTTGGGCCAAAGGAACTTGTTTCCAACTAGCACATCTAATCATTCCTTTCCCAGGCTCCTATTTTACTTTTATTGTGTCAAAGTAGCAAGCTGTTGTCCAGCAGTTCAAAGGTGAAATTTTTTCAGAATTCAGAAAACTGAAAAAAATTTCAGTTTCAGTCAGATGTAAAATACTTTGCTTAAAAGAAAAATGTTCTGCTTGGGATTTCCCGATGTTTAAGTGGGTTCTTTCTTTCCATTTACTTGAAAAATGTATCAAAAAAAGCTCCTTTTGATATTATTTCATTTTTACAAATACTTTTTTTTTAAATTGCCAAGTGTGAATTAGAATCTCAGTTCTTTTCACGTATTTTGAGTTTTGTTCCTTTATAGAAATGAGTGAAAATGAAGCAAACTTTCCGAACATTTGTTTCACTAAGCCTGCATTCATCTACAAAAATGTTTTGATCAAGGAGTTGAGCCTAAATTAATTTTCTTCACTACTTTTCTATTTTTTGACTTACTGGATGGATCGCCTTGTAATTTTTGCATTATGTTTTGCTGTATTTTAAAACCACTGAATTAAATATGAAATTCTCTTCTGTGAAAACAATTATACTAGGTTTGGGGTCAAGAGAGGGGAGAATATCTGCTGTTGGATAAGAGTAGAGCTCTCACTGAGCTTAGATCAAAGCTGTTTTAACTGTATCTGGCATTTTAAAGGCCAACCTGCTCATACCCTGTTACCATAAAGAAATTTGCCAGGAAGGCAGGTGTCTAACTATACAGGCAATCAGATTACAGAGCAAAGTAATCATGATTTCTGATTTTAAGCATAGCTTGCCACATTAGCACATGTACCTTGGAAAAGAGGTAGAAATAACCAGAGAAAGACAAGGACAAGACTGAAGATCATTTGAGCTAGTACAGCTCTAATAAGGTAGTAAATTTTATGTAGCTTTTATTAAGGTATTTTGTTTCTTATCTACAAAAAAAAGGGTCAAAGCTATCTGAAAATGAGAAAATCCCTGCGTTTGCTTTAATTTGTTTTTTAGGAGTTACTGAAATGTAGCAATGTGTTTCTTGGAGGCACCGTTTGCACACACATGTCTGCAACTCTGGGCAGCTCACAGCTGCAGAGTTTCTTTAAGGCACGCATGCTTGGCTTTGACATGCTGAGATTTATGGTGAGACTTAAGTTCTTGTAGCAATGGTGACGTTTCCTGAATAGTTTTCATCCAGATGGTCTCTGAGAGGATAAGGTTTAACAAGATTTATTCACTGAGAGGGGGCAACGTGAATTAAAATTACAAGGGGTACTGTATATACACCACTTCTTTCCCATTCACTGTCTCACAAAATGTAGAAAATCCTCTCTCTCCATTCCTCCCCAGACGAAGTTAAATGGAGTTGCTTCTTTCAACATATCATTCCACTCTGAGCAGATTACAGCTCTGGCAAACAAGTGCTATTAATTTTGTTAGGGTGGAGGAAGGGGTTACCACCCGTGATGTCTACCCTGACACTTTGCCACAGTCTTCCACCCTACTAGTGGAGGCAGCAGATGTAAGCAAGTGCCAGTTTATCAACTGTCATAGTTTGCAGACCAGTGGCAGTTAAAATTAATGTGCTGGCTCTGAGCTGTATGGATGAGGGCTGGACCATGTTGCTTTCTGATGGCTTTGTTTCAGCTTTTGGTGGGGGACCACTGCAGACAGCTGGGAGAGGTAACCTTTTAAGCCATTACCACTAAATCCAGCACAGCCTCTCTGACTGAGCTCCAAGTTTTCAGCCTTTGAGAGCTGTTAGGACTAACAACACTGTTTGGGATCCTGGAACTGTATCTTCAATGGGTGGTAGGGTCAGTTAAAGTCAGTGGAGCATCAGTGCTTTCTGCAGGCTGAGGATCTAAGGATAGTAATTCAGATTGTGATTGCTGAACCTAGATTTTCTGGAAATTGCATGCGTTTTGCAAACAAAAGAACTGATGTTATTTCATATAAAAACCTGCAAGGTTATTGATACACAGTGAAACAATTAAGCACACACTTAACTTCTGCAAGAAAAGTATCTTCACCAAAGAAAACTAACAGATACTGCTCCCACTCTTAAAGTTAAATGCTTTGTAAGCATTTTATTGGTCAGAGTCAGAAGTTTTGTTGCTTTCTGGGTTTGTTTTCTGAAAATACTATTAAGTCATAATGGAAGTTCTAGTATTATAGGCTTATTTAAGTTCAGCCTAAAAAAAGTTTGTTGGTTTTAAAAGTTCAGTATGTCTTGTTCATTTGTTGTTTTCTTCACTTGCAGGCTGAGTTCCCCTTCACCCTCCCCCCCCCCCCCCCCATCTCGAAGTATTGAAAGTATCTTACCTGTCAATAATTACATTTCTTTAACAGGATCAACATGTTTCAGTTTGAGTATCTTTGAATCAAACCTAAACTCCAGTGACAGGAGGAAACAAGCTCATCCTAGAGGAGCATTTACAGAAAATACACTGTCCTGTTTGATAACCAGGGAAAAAACAAACCAAATCAGACCAAAAACTTTTGCCAATATATCGCATTTAGCACTTTAAGCAAGTTCAAGGTTTTGGTTGAGGGTTTGGGTTGTTGTGTTTTGTTTTTTTTTTGGGGGGGGGGGTTGGTTTATGTTTTGTTTTTGGGGGGAGGGTTCATTTTGTGTTGCTATCTCATATTATTTGGTGAAATAGCTTTCATCCATTGCCTGCTGCCAGGTGAGCTCTAACAGATGAGATCTTCACAATCAGTGTCTGGGCCTGAGTCCTTCAGCTTCTGAGTTGTCTATTTGTAATTCATTTACTTTTGAAAGGTAGCAACTCAGCATTTCATGAAATCATGTGCATTTTATATTGTCTCAATTTCATCAGCCTTAAGTATAGGTACTGAATATCATCCATTGCTTTCAAAATCTGGGGCTGAGTGAGCAACATCTTTTTAAAACATTGGAAGAAGCCATAATGATTGTTCTTCATGGCTAAGAACAGACAGTCTGAATAAAATGTGAAAGGGTTAATAATTGTAATGAAATAGGTCTCATTGTATTGTTACAAGTTAAAAATAAGCCTCTTGCTGCAGGGATTCCGTTAATATTGTTTGAAAGAAGTAGCATCAATGTACTGTAATAGACTTTTATTAATAGGCTAGCACAGTCATCAGTCTCTGGGTTGGTGTGATGGCTGAATACAGTGAACATGAGTGTCTTGACAAGCAAGTAACAAAATCTATCAATCACTTCCAGAGTGAAGATGCTGTGATAATTATGTTTACAGTGGTAATAAAATATGGATAAATAAAGTGTTCAAAGCCATGGAAACGTTAGGGTCCATTGTGAATATCCTATGAAATATAAAAGATTGCATCACCATAAATTCACTTAGCTGTGAAGACCGAGATCATTATTCTCTTGACCCATCTTGCTATTTTTAGGGTAAATTTCATGCATTTTTCATTCAGCACTGTTTAGTGGTAAAATCAGCCCAAGACTAAATGCTTAGGTTGCCTTCTTTTCTTGCTGCAAGCAGGTGCAAGGACGCTCATTGCCCTTCCTGTTGATGGTGCTGATGCCCTCAGAACAGCAGTGTGATGGTATTTTATGACTTGTGTTAGTCACTTTTTCTTTCCAGTATTGGCCAAATAAAGAATGGGACATGTTCTGCTCCCTTTTATGCTGCTCTGTGTAGGCAATTGACTCCATTTATTTCAGTGGAATTACTCTAAGTTTATGGTATAAGGAAAAACAAACTTCCTGGTCTACTGGCTTCTGGTGTCAATGAGTCAAAGCTTCCTAGACTGAGAAATGATCTGTCTTGTGATTGCTGGGAAGAAAAGTCCTGGAGACTTTTTATTTTCCTGTCCTAGGGCCATGTCCCTGGCAGGACAAAGAAGCCTTATGTAGTGGGAATCCATCGCATTTACAGCAAGTTTCAATCTCTTTATAATGGCAGGTTAATGTGTACTTTAGCATAAGGAAGAACGTGGCCCAGTCTCACCAATCTACCCTACACTAGACAGCATCTGATTTTATATTTTCTTATTATTTTTGAGAAAATCAGTAAATTCAGCTCCTGAAAAAGGTGCTAGTTTGACAGTCCACAATACTGATGTCTTTGTGCTTGACTGTGGCACAGCTCTGCTCAGACAGCAGCAGAGAAGGCTTCTCCTGCCAATGTGCCTCCACCCTGGCCTTTAGTAGGGGAGAGGTAACTTTGCTTCCCATGCTTCATTTAATTCTTGGCTCTGCTTGCTGAGAATGGCAACGGAGTTGCCAGTTGTGGCATGCACATTTATTGCTAGGAAGTGAGCCAGAACCACCAATCCATTTCACATAGACACTGAACAGCAATGGTAAATACTTCTTGTTCATTACTAACCTAAGCCGGATTTGAACTGAAGACTCAGAGGTGAAAGACTGTCTCCCATTCCTTAATCCCCTTAACATTTCAGTCTGCCTCATAAAATTTTCTAAAAAACAAATATAAACCTTGTGTATGAAATGAAATCCAGGAGAAAAAAGAAAATCCATATTGAAGACTGAGTCTGTTTTCTTCTTCAGCAAGCTTCTTTGCTAGTAGTGACCCTGGAAAATTGTTCTCTGATTATTCTCTTGAGATGTTACTCTAATTTCTTGCTGCTGTAGATGGCCATATGATCAATTGTCATCAGTCACTGCCTGATGATGGGCCATTACTTACTAGTGCATACTTGGGGGAAAAACACATGTGACTTCCATTAGGAGGCAGAATGCACCTACATCAAAT